TTTTTTTTTTTTTTTTTTGTGCCATAACTGCAGACAAGAGGCACTTACATTTTGCTATGGTGGGGAAAGAGCCAAACTAGGAGCTCTGAGGTAACAGAAAGGTGCAGAGTGCTCCTTTGACGCTGGCACTAAATCCACCCTCCCTGTCAAGTGCCTCCAACACCCTCTAGGCTCACGGAGTAAACCGTGTTCCTTTTTCCAGAGCCTGGTGCAGGAACAGTGCCCCTGGGAGATCAGGTAACTTTGGAGGTTGGGGCTGACACCTGAGCAGTTAGAACAAGCGGAACCTTGGTGAGTTGTTGTCCGGTGTCTACACAGGTCTGGGGAGCACTCGTGAGGAAGGATCCATGCGTCTTCAGGGGAGATGGGGAGAGAATCACAGGCATGGGGGGGCGGAGAAGGTAAACAAAACAACAGTGACAAGAGCCACCAGACAGGGAAACAGAAAGTGCCTTAGCTTGGCCCTACCGTATTGTACAATTCCTCTAGTCTGGAGATGGTGAGAAAACGGTGCATGCTTACTCCATTCTCTATGAGTAATTTCACAAAATCCACTCTGTCCAGGATTAGGGCATCCAGCATGGCTTGCTCCAGAGACCCCACCTGCGAACCAAGCCATGAGTTAGTCTGCCCCGGGGTCTGGGGGTGCAGGCCCTCGGCGTCCACCTGGACAGATAATGGAGGCTCGATACCTGGGGACCGGTCGGCTCATCCAGGGACCGTGCACTCAGGACAGCGCACTCCGTCCTGTGTGCCAGGCCTGTCTTTGGAAAGGAAAGTGAAAGATTTCCAGGTCCAAGAGCTATTTCCTTCTGGAATTGCTTTTTTTTTGGGGGGGGGATTCTAAGAAGGTTGCAAAAGGTTACAAGGGTTCTGCTCTTGCCATTCTCTGCCAGAGAAATGCCCGGGTGGGGACCACAGGACCTCCATCACAGATGGCAAGCCCTTCGGAGACCAAGTACCCAAACTTCAACCCAAAACTACTTCTTTATCACAAAGTGCCAACACTGCAATGACACCCGAATACTGAGGTGTTTGGTTCAGGGAAAACAACTCCTACATTAACATTTTTTGTCTTAAAAGAAAAACAACGCGCGTGGCATAGGTTCACCACCGCTGACCGAGGTAGATGCTAAATCTCAGTGCAGAAATAGGCAAGACGGAGGCCAACTGGTCTCACTTATTAACTAGAGAAATCAGCAAGCCAAGTTTTAGATTTGGCCCTGGCTGGGATTTTTAATTTAACCTTTTTCACAAATTTCTTCCAGATTCCTTGACAAGTATTTCCATGCTAGCAATGCACCACCACAGTGCGAAGACAGGTGCTTAACCACAGCCAAGAGCTGCTGGGTGAAGGCAGGGTTCGCAAAGACCTGCTCGGGGAGGGGCTCCAGGCCCTCAAATCAAATGCCAGGCCCGAGCCAGGATAGTCTCATACCTATCCTACCCCATGGCCGATTTCCCAAGTTTTTATTTTTGGTAGAGTCCATCGAGGGAAACAAATCAGGAACAGTTATATAAAACTGGATCCCTCACGTTGTTCTGTGGGAAAGGGAGAGCCTGGGTCCAGCCCCCAGGACCAGATGGCGCCCGCGTCCGGAGCTGCTCCTTGTGGGTCCTGAGGCGCGCACCTGCACGGCCGTCATTTGGGAGCAGCAACTGCTTCCTCTTGCAGACAGTCAGAAACAAATTTAACTCCTTCACCAAGTTAAACTTACACAACTTGGTATTATATGCACCTTTTAAGACACACTAAAATGTATCTGCAGCTGAAAATGACTGCATTTCGGCCTCTCCGGGAGAGACGGAAATGGGTGCAATTATTTGGAGTGGCGTTTCACTGTAACGTCCACCAGGTGGCAGCATTTCCCCAAGTATGAGAAGCGGCTCCTAGGCCAGGAACTGCTGTGTGTACAAAGCAAGAATTTTTTCCTCCCAAACGAAAGATAGTAAGTACTTCCCCGAGCCCCTCTAAAGGTTCCCTAAACAAACACCCTTGCCCACGCAAGTGGGCTGCTCAGGAGTGGGGACATATACTCTACCGGCCACTGTTGCCCGTAAATGAAGATCTGGCTGCGAGCGATGTCCACTCTGTTCCAGGCTAGCGCTAAGCTCAGCTGGTCTGGGGCCGAGGCATTAGCTCCTGCGCAGAGAGCAGAGAAGAGGGGGGAGAGAAGACTGGTCAGTGCTTTGTGAGGAAGACTCACCCATCGCTGTCGCCGACCCCCTTCCGGGGCAGCAGACCAGGCTGTAGGGGAGGCTTCTTGGCCTCGCGCCGCTGCAGGTCGGGAGGACTATGCTCTCTCGAGCTGACCTTTACACCATGGGGTGCTCAGTTGCATCCCTGGCTCGACCCTTTAGGCGCCGGTAGCACCGTCCACTCATCCTCGCACTGCCTCAAGTGTCACCAGCCTGATGTGGTAGCCAAGACCTGTAAGCTAGCATTCTGGGAGGCTGAGGCAGGAGGATCGCAAGTTTGACCAGTGTGTGCACTATGGCTGAGGAGCGCTGCTGTGAGACACACTCGCTCCCGCTGGCCGCTCTGTTCCTTCCAGGCATCCCTGGCGTTGGGTTTCTCACGGGGCTGGGCCCTCGTCAGCTCTCTGCTGAGGAAGACCCCCTGCAGATCCACGTTGATTTGCCCATAGAAACTGTTGGAGCCATTTTCCTGTTTCTCCTCAGTCTCCAGACTCTGTCTAGAGCCGTGTTGCTCAATGTGGCCATTTAAGTTTATGAAAATTAAATAAAACGAAAACTTTGGTTCCTTCACCAAATTAGCTGAATTTCAGTGTTGAACTTCTACATGTGGCCAGTGATTGGGAAAGCAGGATGGAAGATTCTCTCCTTCCCTTCCTTTTTAAGGCACGGTGGGTTGAATCCAGGGCCCATGCACTGAGCTTCCTTCTTAGCCCCTTTTAAAATCTTGAGACAAAGTTTTGCCAAGTGTCCAGGCTGGGTTGGAATTTGCAGTTTTCCTGCCTCGCTTCCCATAGTGCTGGGATTTTTACTTTTTCCCCGAGTTCTGGGTTTCAGGCGTGCACCCCCACACCTGGCTGGCAGAGGGCATTTCTATCACCGCAGAGGATTCTGCCGGGACATAGCTGATCTGGGCGAGTGCACCGTGCTCATAAAGGTGCCCTTGTGGCTGTGTGAGGCCAGACTTCTCTGGGCCACCGGGAGGCTGGGCGAGCAGTCAGAGGTCCAACAACTTCAGTGGAGAAGCAGGCCCAGCCTACATACGGCACACAGGGGCAGCGGGGCTGGTGAGCTCTCCCGTGGCCGCTCCCTGTGCGGGAGGAGGGCGGGACAGCATCAGAGCTGCCTGGTCCTTTGGTCCAGGGACGCGGGAGGCCAGAAGCGGAGAGTGGCCCAGCTCCGCCGGAAGTGCGTGTGTCAGGGGCTCCCGAGCTCCACCACACATTTGAGTCGCATTACAGCCTCCCCGTGCTGGGGCGCACCTAGAGCAGGGAAAGCACATCTCTTGCAAGGGACGGTGCCTGAGCTCCTGATGCGCACGGGAGGCTTGGGACTTCATACCTCTTCCCCTGCTACCCTTGGCCTCCTCTTCCTCATCTTCTTCAGAGAGAGAGAGAGTGTGTGTGTGTGTGTGTGTGTGTGTGTGTGTCAGCCCAAGGCCTCTGTGCTATTTGCACTGAGTTACATCCCTAATCCTTTTCTATTTTTTTTTAATATTTTGAGAAAGGGTCAAGTTGCCCAGGCTGGGCTTAAACTTGTGATCCTCCTGCCTCAGCTTCCCAGAGTGCAGGGATTGCAGACGTGAGCCACCACACTGGGCTCTGGCCTCTTCTGGACATGAAGAGTTAGGGAAAGCATTCTCTAGGTGAGCACTTCTCAAATTTACACATGCATAAATCTAACCTGGAGAATTTAAAAACACTGGACTTGCGAGTCCTGCCCCAGACATCCTGTGTCAGCAGCCCCAGCCCGAACTCCTGTGTTTCTCACAGTCTCCTCCCGTGGCTGCTGCTGACCAGGGTCGCCCTTGAAGAACCAAGCCCTCGAGAGCTGTGGGGTTATATTTCCTTCCTAGGTCAAAGGTTTCTGGTTCCGGTGTCCACGTACTGATGGTTTTATGAACCACATATCTGGAATAACTTGATTGTGTCGGGAATGATAAATATCAATTCAGTTTACAGGGGTGAATTTTACAGTAAGAAATTATTTACCTTTTCAGATAATAACAGGGACTGCAAACCTATAGCCGGGTCACTGGAACAAACAAATGATAAACCAGAATGTGGCAAAATGTAGCGTTGAAGGCGAACTCAGATTGCACTTGGAAAGGTGGCACTTAATGCCTTCCTTTGCTTTTTTTCCCTTTTAAAATACATTTTTAATTTCAGATGATACATCGCCACTGTCTATATTTATGGGCCATAATGCAAGATAGATGCATGCACACCGCGTGTGGTGAACAGATCGGGTCCCTGGTGCCTCTCTCACCTCAAACATCTACCTTTTTGGTGGTGAGAACATTCAGAATCTCCACTGTCCATTTCGAAATATGAAGTTAGTTGTCAACCGTAGTCATCCCGCTGTGCTACAGAACACGTGAAGAGACTTCTTCTGTGAAGCTTCTTCCTGTCCATTAACCCTTCCTTCCCAATATTCTTTCCTGCCTCTGCTGGCCACTGTGTACTCTGTACTTCTACGAGGTTAACTTCTACATGCAGGGGAGAACATGCAGTGCTTGGTTTTGTGTGTGTGCTTGGTTTGTTTCGCTTAATAAGTGAATCATGCCCGTCCCATCCCTGTTGCTCTAAATGTCACGATTTCATCCTTTCTCTCGCTCTCTCTCTTTTGGATGGGACAGAATTCCGTTCACATTTAAAAAAATTCATTCATCTGCTGACAAAAAGCTGGGTTGATCCCATATGTTGACAAGTGAGAATAGGAGTGCAATAAACATGGGTGTGAAGGTGGCTCTGTGACGCACGCATTTCGTTTCCTTTTGATCTGTGCCCGGGAGTGGGATTGTTGGATCGTGCAAGAGCGCTGTTCCTCATTTTCCGCGGAAGCTACTGCTCCCCCGTGGCTGGACTGACTCGCACACCCACCGGCGTATCGGGCAGTCCCCTCCTCTGTCTGCTGCCCAGGGCGATGATGGCAGCTCGAGTCTGAACCAGAACACAGGGCAGGCGGCAGTGATGTGAGGGCACGGAGGGCTACACGTGGGTAACTGGGTAAATGTCGAATGATAACCCTTATCCGTCATGACGTCAACAAGACCCGCGAGTCCTGACTTCTCAAAGCTGGAAAGTGCATTGCTCAGACTGGTTCCGAGCGGTAGTTTGGGTCTGTGCGGGTTTCTGACCGAGACTCCCGGCTTGCCTAGGACAGTCGCAGCTTTCGTGCTGAGATTCCCGCATCCTGGGCAGCGTCTCACCCAGGAGGCCGGCTGGTCACCCTGTCCTCCACGGTGGCAGCACACGGGAACTTGCTAAAGGGTTAACATACTCAGGCCCAGGACCTCCTCCCGCAGGGATTCTAGTGTGGTGGTGCCGGACGCTGCAGCTTTACAGAGCTCCCGGGTGATCCTGACGGATCCCAGCGTACGGACAATCTTGGTTCCTTTGCTCACCCGCCTGTTGTGTCGGTCCTTGTTTGTGTGGGCAGAGGTGTTGATCTCATGCGTTCTCCTATGGCAGTCACTATGCCAGCCCGAGGACCTCGCAGATGAGACAGTGCTTTGTCCCGAGTGCTTCGGGTCTAGGGGAGAGAGCTCTGCGATTTAATATCCCCCGAGCATCAGTTCATCTACTGTGTGACGTGTTTCTCAAAGACCTTCTGTCCCAGACCCGTCTGGGCACCGCACACCCAGAGGTGAACAGGACAGCTACGTCACCCTCATCCTACTCTTGCTGCTTGGCACTCAGGCAGCGAAGAAGCTGACCCACAGTGCGGGTTGAGGTTGCGTAAGAGCTAGGAAGGCGTAGCGCCTGGAGCGTATCGTACGGCTCAGGGTCCACAGAAACCAGTCCGTGCGGCAGCGCCCCAGGCTCCTCAGCCTCCCGTGTCCCATGGTGGATGTTGTGCCAGTTGCTGGGCCAGGCTGCTCCCTTGCAATGAGGGCTGGAGATGGGGTCCCGGGCACAAATAGCGGAGTTCTTGGGCAGCTCATTGACCCCATGAGGGAAACAGGGCTGGAAAATGCACAGACGGGTTGAGGTGGATCTGGACTCCATCTGGGTCCTCACTGGGGCTCAGGGCTCCCATCTGTAGGAGCCCTGCTTCCCAGGCAGGTGCCCGATCGGGGGTGGATGTGGGGACCTGGTACCTTTGGGGAGGGTCCTTCTGAGCGCCGAGATAAGAGTGGTCACAACAGTGACCAGGGTCATGGCGGAGCTGCTCTGGTAGGGTGAGTGACAGGAGGCCTGCCTGAGAGTAACAACTGAGCAGAGACTGAGATGCTTAGAAAATGATTGTGCATACGTGTGAGTGTGTGTGTGTGTGTGTGTGTGTGTGTGTGCGCCAGGAAGAGGAAGCAGCAAGTGCAAAAGTGCGAATGTGGGAATGAATGCAGGTGGGTATAAGACATAACAATTATGATGTCTGTTCTTGAGCAGGTCAGGGAAGACCTAGACGCGTGCATAATGACTGCCTGAGGTTTGAAGGGTGAATTCACTGAACAGATGCTGCGGAGAGAGGCCTCTTAGTAAAGGGCACGGTGGATGCAGAAGGGGGTGAATGAGGTGTACCTGGAGAATCCACGGCAAGACACGGTGCTCTGTGCCCGGGTGCAGAATCCGAGAGACGACGCATGAGTTAGAGGACTCCCAGGCGGCGGGGAAGACCTCTCCTTCATCCCGAGAGCTGGGAGACCGCTGAGACTCGCCTGGAGACGCGCCGCCAGGTCTGTGTCGCGGACACAGCAGTCTGGCAGCACAGTGTGCAGCAGGGACTCGAGGGCCAGCACTGCAGGATAGCTCTGCAGTCTCCTGGGAGGGGGGAACGGGAGACCCCAAGGAGCAGCTGAGGTGGAGGGAGATCTGAGGGCCAACATCGTTATCCTTGGGTGATGGGGATCAAGGGAGAAAGAGAAGTCATGGGTGATTCTTTAACGCCTAGATTGGGAGCCAGATTCAAAATGGCCCAGAAATGCAAGAAATAGAAGTCAAAACC